GTGCCCAGCTAATTTTTATATTTGTAGTAGTGATGGAGTTTTGCCATGTTGGCCAGGCTGGTCTTCAACTCCTGACCTCAGGTGATCTTCCCACCTCGGCCTCCCAAGGAACTGAGATTAAAGGCGCAAGCCACTACATCCAGCCAGGAGGATCTCTTGAGCCCAGGAGTTCCAGGCTGCAGTGAACTATGATGGCACCACTACACTTTAGCCTGGCACTCTAGCCTAGGCACCAAAGCAAGTCCCTGTCTCTTAAGAAAAAAATCTGTATTTATTACCACTGTACTATTTTCACAACTTTCTGTGAATGTATATTTCACAGTTTCATACGTGTGTGTCTATACAAAGTAACCACACTTTTAACAGGTATCATTTTATGATCACACTTTTAACAGGTATCATTTTATGATCTAGACTGTTAATATTTTTAGCTTTCAAAATAACTTAATAAACAAGTTTCATACAAAACTAATACATGAAACATTTAAGTGGCATCTTTATCAGACATAAAATCTACCACATTACATTTCTTCCCTAACTTACCACATAAATGATAAATAAGATTTCCACAACAAGATAAATAAGATTTCCACAACAATAACAACTAATATTGGTGAATGGTTTGTTCAATCAATATTACTTAATTCATAAATCACTTTTCCTCCTAGCGAAAACAGTTTTGCTCATTCATTACCTCATGTCACCTCTTTCTTCAGTATTCACTGATTTGACCAATATGGGAGCTGGCAGTAAAGGGTTTGGCATGAACTGTGCAGTGGCATCAGTAAATTCTTCTACTGCATTGGTTGGAATTTCCACCAGAGTTAAAATAAAGGCTTGTTCATCTTCTCCATCTTGAGGTACATTAGCAACTAGATTCACTATTAAAGTTTAAAAGTTAGTAATAAAAAAGCTCAACTATGAAATAACAGAATATCATTAATTTATTTCATTTCTAAAAAGACAGTTTCAGGACAACTTATCATCAAGATTAAATAAATAAATGCTCCCCGCCACGACCCCCCAGCCTGAGGAAGTAAGTTCCCTCCTTTTTTTTTTTGGGGGGGGAGACAGAGTCTCACTCTGTCGCCCAGGCTAAAATACAGTGGCACAATCTCAGCTCACTGCAACCTCCGCCTCCTGTGTTCAAATGATTCTCGTGCCTCAGCCTCCCAAGTAGCTGGGATTACAGGTGTGTGCCACCATGCCTGCCTAGTTTTGTACTTTTAGTAGAGACGGTGTTTTGCCATGTTGGCCAGGCTGGTCCTGAACTCCTGGCCTCAAGTGATCTGCCCACCTCAGCCTCCCAAAGTGCTGGGATTACAGGAGTGAGCCACCATGCCCGGCCCAAGAAGTAATTTCATAAAGGATAAAGCTGATAAACTACGGAAAAGATTTATGACTCTGAAAAACAAAACTGATAAGCAAAATACTTCAAGGTGTTTCTATAAAACTTTTTAAATTTAAGGCCAGCATAGACTAAAATAAAACTGTTTCGTGTTTTTCCATAGTTAAAGAAGGGGTAAAAATCATACAATTAGGTTCTATGACATGTCACTGAAGCATATTATCATACCTGTTAGGTCTTGAGGATTGATTATATTCTCTTGTTGGACTTCTGGAATACTTGTTGGTGTATACTGCTATAAAAAATTAAAATGAAAGAGTGAGGTTGGCCAAGTCAATATGATATAGTGAAGAGATTAACTCAACAACATCTAACCATATATACTTTTCAAGTGTTTGAAGCTTTAGGCTGTTTCAATAAACTTTTGATTCATTTAAATATTAATACAAAGAATCCTGACTACATTGTTAAATATGTGCATTTTATGAAATGATTTTTGAAGTGACAGAATAGGGAGACCCAAACCCCACAACTTTTTCTCTACTCCCATCACACCAGCTTTTGTACTATTAGCAGGTGACATGTGAATGGAGGCAAACTGCTTTCCCTGAATCCAGTATGGTTCCCTCCAATCTGTTTTCCAAAAAACCGCAAACATGGTTTTTCTAAAATGCAATCCTGACTGTAATTCTCTACTGCTTAAAATCTCTTAGCTCACTACAACCTCCACCTCCTGGGCTCAAGCGATCCTCCCACCTCAACCTCCTGAGTAGTTGGGAGTACAGATGCATGCCACCACACCTGGCTAATTTTTTAAAAATTTTTTGGGGGTAGAGATGGGGTTTTGCCATGTTGCCCAGGCTGGTCCCAAACTCCTGGGCTCAAGTGATCCGCCCACCTCAGCCTCCCAAAAGTGCGGGGATTATAGGTGTAAGACACTATGCTGGGTTTCTACTGCTTAA